TTGAGTCATGTGCAGTTTGCCACCGTAACAAGGGTCGATCTCGAGTCCCCTTCGGCGAACTGAAACCGTTGCCGATTCCTMKGGCACCGCGCCTCTCCATTGCTATGGACGTAACAGGCCCGTTCCCCCGTGATCGCCACGGCCATGACGGTGTTCTCACGGTCGTAGACCGTTTGAGCAAGTACGCTCGCTTCTTTCCTTGTAAGTATCATGCTGCAGCGCCGGAGCTCGCAGGACTCTTGCACACCGGTTGGATTACCAACCAGGGTTTTCCGGAAGACATAGTGAGCGACCGAGATACTCGCTTCATGTCGACCTTTTGGACTTCCCTCATGGCTGAGTCCGGAACGACAATGAAGCCGAGCTCGGCTCGGCACCTGCAAACGGATGGCCAGACGGAGCGAGAGCACCAGACCGCTCAGATGGTGTTGCGTACGCTCATCCGTCCCGACCAGAAAGATTGGGTTGACCGACTTCCCGACATCGAGTTCGCCTATAAAACTTCGGTGCACCCGGCGATCTGCGTCACACCATTCGAGCTACATCATGGTGGAGAGAGCACGGATCTTCGCTGATCTCCTTTTGCCACAGGCTGCCGACATAGACGTCCCTTGCTCTCCCGCTTCCGTTCGGAAGTACCGGGACTTGCTGATCAAAGCCCGCGCGAATATGCAAAAGGCTCAAATCCGCATGCAACAGCAAGCTAACCGACGTCGACTTCCATGTCCTTTCCGCGAGGGAGACCTTGTTTGGGTCCTCTCCGAGGAATTTACGCTCGAGCAGGACGTTTCGCGCAAACTCCTTCCGAAATGGTTCGGACCATGGGAAGTCACTTCTGCCGTTGGAGACGACCCCGCAGGTCCTTCCTTCGTGGTCAACATTCCACCGCACCTTACAGTGCATCGGGTCTTCCACGCGTCGAAGCTGGCCATCTACACGCCACCTTCAGCTGACGAGTTTCCCGGACGTCGATCACAGGATCCGCCTTCTATGGACGGACATCAGGAAGTGGACCGAGTCATCATGCACCGCAAGTATGGCAACAAGCCAATGCAGTACAAAGTCACATTCAAGCAATGTGCGCCTGACGACACTCGGTGGATCTCTAGTGCAGACTTGCAGACTTCTGCACCCCTTATCTTCGCCAACTATGAGAAGACACGACTTGCCAAGGCAACARCTCGTCCCACCCGACCCATCYCGGTATCGGACAGACAACTCCGCCCTCGCAAGTAGCTCGGTCTTTTAAGAGGGGGAGTGTGTTACATCTTCGACGCCACACGGGTCCTACCGGACCGGACTTAGGGCTAGAGGGACACATTAGGGCCTAAAGGCCCGACCTTGGGGATTAAGAGGCCGAAAGGCCACGACTTGGACCAGATTACGGACCAGGCCCAAACGACATTTCGTTTTGGGCCTGGCGGCGCCTTTTGAGGCTGCCGCTCTCCGGTTGGACCTGAATCGTCGATCTGGGCGGTTCAGCCCCAACCAAGGCCTTGCAGCATTGAGGCCGGTCCTCTTCGAACCAGTACTTAGTACTGCTCCGGCCTCACTTCTAGGCATCGACCCACCTGCACTCTAACAGTGCGGTATGGTACAGCGCGACAGCGGTGGCGCTATTCTTAGCGCAGGATCCAGAGGAGCAGCGGCAGCAGCAGCGAGCGGAGCCAGCAGCAGCGGTGACTGGGCACATCGGCGGCCATAGCCGCCTGAGGTATCGGGAGACAGGGGGTTCTCTCCTCCCTCCCGTCGCCAGTCCCCTCTCTCTCTCTCCTCCTCGACTCTCTTCTTCCTCTTCTTCTTCTTCTCCTTCTTCTCCAGACTTCTTCTTCTTCTTCTTCTTCTTCTTCTTCTTCTTCAGACTGGAGACTTATACTAGTTGGACAGAGATCAGAGTTGGACTTCGGTGGTAAGAGGCTGTGGTACTTACCGGATTCGAGACTTGGAGATTGTTGGGGATGATACTCGGCTGCATTACAGATTGGACACCGACTACATTAGGACTCTGTATCTCCGACATTGGTAACTTATTGTCCGCGACATTTGATCTTGTTCGATGACATTTTGGATCACCATATAGGTGACCTACTGGTTTTCTATCTCGGTGACATCTGGTGCTACCTACATCTCCCACCTCCTTCGTCTCTCCTCCCACGTCTCATCTGTGTATGTGTGTACGAGGTCTGGGCATCGTCTATGCTTGGCCCAGACCCCACCATCTCACGATTGTATGTGTGTGGAGTGATATCTGTGTGAGTCAGTCAATGTGAGTCAGTCCGTCTATCAGACTTCCACTGCATATATGCTCATCCTACATTGGTTGATCTTGGGTTCTGCCCATACTCATTGAAGTATGTAACACCCAACATTTCCAGACTCCAGTTGATTGCTACATCTTGACAGGCCCCGGGGTACGTACGTTGACAATGCTGCTTTTTCGTAGGCCCTTGGCCACTTTGTGATGTATCTGCCTCGCAATGTGTGTGCCGAGGCACAACTACCAGGCGCAGCAGGGAGGCTCACGTTTCCTTGTAACTAACTGTCGTGCAGCAACTGCCTGAGTACCCACATATGGAAAAATGTCAAATTTTGGCCTCTTGTGAATATTCGGGCCCGACTTCACTTAGGGCGGGCACTGGGCTATCTGAGGGCCTCTGCCCAGAACATATGCATGTCTGATAAAGGCCCCGCGAGGGCTCATTCCTCGCAGAATGGTTCATCTGATTTCGTGTTGTCGGGTGATGGGATTTGATTGTTTACCTGCGGGGCAGAGCCTTCCTCCTCTCCCTTCTCTCTCCCTTCTCTCTCCCTTCTTTTCTCCCTTGTCTCCCTTTTCTCCTCCTCTCACTACTCTCCCTTGTCTCCTTCTCTCTCTCAATTTCGGACCATAACAGTGAGGCCAAGCGGTCTGATTTCTGCACATCTGCAGGCCCAGTGGAACTGGTTGGTTCACTCATCCATGGAATTCTGAATGACCGATTTTTGTTGAATTCCGTGAAGAAGAGCATGTAAATGATTGTCTGAATAACCTTGGCTGGGTTGCTTTCTCAAATTCTCTCTCCCCTCGTCTGAGATAGTCTAGTACTCAATGCCCTGAAAACTACGATTGTGATTTGTGTTGTTGTTGGGTAAGGTTGTGAAGTAGCGCCTCCAACTATTGTTGTTGTCGTTGTTGTTGTTGGGTGAGTTTGTGAAGTAGTGCCTCCGGCTATTGTTGTTGTCATTGTTGTTGTTGGTGGTGTTTGTTAGCGGTGATGGTTGTTGTTAGGGCTTTTCATGACTTGTGTCTCAACTTTATGGCATTCTTAATTTCTTACACTAGGGGCTTTTTTGTTTTGGATGAATATGACTGTTATTGTGGCCAATTCAGTGAAAATCCCCTCATGTGTGCATGCCGTGCATTGGATCATCCTACTGTGCTTGTTCCTTTCTGTTTTATTCTTTCGAGTTCCTTCCAATAAAACATGTTTTCCCCTCTCCCTGTTTCGTTTGTCTATGGGTCACATTTACAGCTGGCAAGCAGAATGTGTTCCGCGGTCCTGAAGTGACGTCCTGAGTGATCACCATGGCCCAGGCTGGGCATGGACGACTCTATGGTGAGAGTCCCCACTCATTGATGATGCATTGCTACCGTCCTTCCCTGAACAAAACGTCCCCAATCAGGATTGTATGTGAGGCATCTCTCCTGTGAGATACGACTATGATGAGGGTGCGTTGTCTTCAGCAGAAGACGCTAGGCTTTTCTTTTCTCACAGGCAAGGGTTGGCGTGGATTCACACATGCCAACCCTTGCCTGTGAGAAAATAATAATGCTACGGTCTTCAGGCGAACACAATGCATCCTCAACATAGCAGTATTGCAATGGGAAGATAGCTTATTGCAATGGGAAGATAGCTTATATATATCGTCTAGACCCAAGAAAGTGCACACACAGCCCAAGGCCAAGGGCACAAGACAGTCGATCATTGTATTATTAATCTAGTCAGGCGAACACAAGGCACCCTCAACATAGCAGTATTGCAACGGGAAGATAGCTTTTTGCAATGGGAAGATAGCTTATATATACATTAATCTAGACATACCACACCACGAAGACACATACAAAGACATTCAAAGACAAAAAGACATTCAAAGACAAAAAGACATTCAAAGACACTGCAAAGACATTCAAAGACACCACAAAGACACTGCAAAGACATTCAAAGACATACAACACACAAAGACGCAAAGACACAAAGACACAAAGACACACACAACAAGACGTGGACAAAGACACACACAAACACATGCACATACTCACACACTGCCTTTTTCCTTCTTGTCCTTCCTTCCCCACTTTTTCCTTTGCCTATTCTATTGTTCTGTGGTTGTGTGCACAGACACGCACAGAGAGACCACTTAGATGACGCAAACACACATCAACAGAGCACACGAACAGGTGGAGGCATTCTGCATATTAGCCGGTCCATCACTTGGAAAACGCTGTGGCAAGATCCTCCTGAAATGGACATCGGCAGCCTTCCCGCGCTGAGCCAACGGCCTAAAACCCTGGACCAGACAAATGAGAAGCTCATGAATGTGTAAGGACCTGCCATACACGGACTGAGGCACAACTGATTTCTGAGTTTGGCGCATGGAATGTATGCCTTGCTGAGATTCCCGCTTGTTTGGCTTCTTCCCCTATCACATTTTGGGAAAGTGGAACGGCTTCGCGGACGCTCTTCACGGGACACGGACTTGTGTACCGCATTCTACTCGACGTTTGAGATTGACGACGACTTGTAGGACAGCTTCATCCGCGACTACCATGCTGACCCCGAGTTTCGCGACAAGTATGTAAATTGCTCCTCTCCGCATCCTGTGCCTTCGCATTATCGGATCCAAGAGGGCTACGTGCTTGCCACTAGCGGGGGAAGGACCTTCTTTGCATACCGAGTGATCCACACCTACGTACGCGGCTTCTTGGCCAGTTCCACAACGCTCCCGCCACCAGACACTTTGGCGTCAATCGTACGATTGGTCGACTTCGGGAGCACTTTTGGTGGCCCGACCTTCTTGGCGACGTCACACGTTATTGCGAGTCATGCGAGTTTTGCCGACTATGCAAATCCCGCAATCATCGTCCGTTTGGCGAGTTGCAACCAGTACCGGTCCCCTTAGGATGACAGGAATCGATTGCCATGGACATCACGGGCCGTTCCCCAAGCACAAGACCGATGTGGATGGGATTCTCACGGTGGTCGATCGACTCACCAAGTTCGCCATGTTTTTGCCTTGTCGCTGTCACGCCAAGGCGCTGGAGTCGACCGAGGTTCTTTAGGCCGGCTGGATTCGCACCAAGCGTTATCCCAAGGAGATCGTATGAGACCGTGACACTTGGTTCATGTCCGACTTTTGGGTTGCTCTCGTCAAGCGATGGGGCTTATCTCTCAAGCCGTGTTCGGCTCGCCACCTGCAAACCGATGGGCAAACGGAGAGAGCACATCAAACTGCGCAGGTTCTTCTTCGCACTCTCATTCGCCCAGATCAAAAGGATTAGGTTGAGTGGATTCCTGACGTCGAGTTGGTATAGAACTCGTCTACTCATCCTGCTATCGGAATTTCGCCCTTCGAGTTCGAGCATGGCTCATCGGTTACATTGCCGTTGGGCACTATCATTCCACGGATGGCCAAGTGCGACGACCACCTTGTATTCATTCGACGAATGCGAGAGGTCCTTGTCAGGGCACGGGACCAGATGTCGAAGACGCAACAACGCATGAGTCATCGAGCCAATCGACAGTGTCTTCCTTGCCTGTTCCGTGTGGGCAACCTTGTTTGGTTCTCCGCCGTGGAGTTTAGCCACAAGCAAGACATCTTTCGCAAGCTCCTCGCGAAATGGATGGGGCCTTGGCGCATAGCAGCGCTCGCTGGCAAAACACGTGATGGGCCCTCATTTGTCGGTGTGGTAACTCGGTGTTTCATGGTCCAAAGTTGGCCCTTTTTCGTTTTGGGGGAACGAGACGACTTTCCTGGGCAACGATCGCAAGACCCTCCCTCCATGGATGGGTTTCAGGAGATCAGCGACATCATTTCGCAGAGGCGTTACGGCAACAAGCCGACAGAATACTTTATGCATTTGTCCTATTGTAGACAAAAGGCCGAGAATTGGTCGACCCGTGCGGAACTACAGGCTACGGCCCCCGACGTCCTTGCACGTTATGCACACAAGCAGCAGGGCAAGCCGGCACCTTCGGCTCCACGCCGTACTCGCGTCCAGGTTCCATCTTCGGATCGTCAGATTCGCCCTCGGCCCGGAGGGGGGGAGTGTCATGCTGAGCCTGCCACACGGGCCCCGTTTCGGGGGCCTGAGGGTTGCTGAGGGCTCGCAGGGGGCAAGCCCATTCCAGGCACACGACCTGGAGGCGCATGGCGATGTTTCAGGCCAAGGCATCTTTTTGGTGCAATCCAGGCTCTCGTTTTTCAGCATTTATTTATTTATTTATGGCTGAACTTTTTCTGTGTTTTTTTTTTGTCTGTTCCAGGGCGTCGTCTTGGACTTTCCAATTTGACCGAACAGACTGGTGTCTGTTCGGACCAAGGCCACGTTTTGGGCCTCTTGGGAGGCCAGGGTCGTAGCTGGGCCTTTCTAGGCCAGGTTCGGTTTGGTCTGCTAGCCGACATTCGCTGCTGCATCAGCAGGGGGGCCTGGACGTCCGGTAGGGACCCAGGCAGGCCGTTTTTAGGCCAGGCCTAGGAGCAGGACTTTTCCCTGTGATCTGGACCGTGGATGGGACCCACGATCACCCGGCCCAGGTTGCATGTCGTGGGCATGGCACCCAGGCCCAGCGCTACGTATGGCTGGGCCAGCCCAGCTCCTGGGCAGACAGGAGTTCCCCTCCTTTGGGGACGATATGCTGTTGGAGCAGCGTGCAACGCTTCGGCGCTGCGCTATACTTAGAGGTAGAGTTTGAGAGCTAGGAGGGGTGAAGAGAGAGAGAGAGGTGGTGGCCATACCTGTGAGGAGCGAGCAGCTTACCTGGTCGCCATAGCTGGTACCTGCGTCCGTGACCTGCAGCACAGAGGAGTACAACAGCTCGTTAGTACATGGCGACAGTTATGTGCAGGTGAGACAGTGGAGAGGATGACATCTTCTTCTTCTTCCTGTTCTCGCCCTCCACTTCTTCTGTGTGTGTGTGTGTGTGTGTGTGTGTGTGTGTGTGTGTGTGTGTGTGTGTGTGTGTG